AGAAACTTCTAAAACACACAATGTAAAAAGAGAAACCATGATGTTATGAAGAAGGCTGGTACTAGAAGGTGTCCCTTTCAAAGTTGCAAAGTGTTTGTTATTATGTGGAAATAATAGCACCGTCTTTTTTCACCTGTAATGGCTTTGCTGGAGCTTTTCGATCACAAGGAAACTCGCTGCATACCATGTAATTCCTAACGGCAATTTTATAAACATTTGGTTCCACGTTTTCAACAGATAAAAGTAGTTCAACATCAAGGGGGCCAATCTAATGCTTCAACTACCTCCCTTCTAACATTTCATGCACATTGGTGAAAAATAATCTGAATATAAACTATGGCGCCAAGGTATTGACAACAGCTTACTCTGACTACTATGATTTTAAAATTCAAAGCTATTATTATTTTGATGCAATCAGAGATTGGTGCAAATAAAAAACATAAACCAAGCAGTTTCTGCTTATATAGCAGGAAGTCTCATTCAATCATCCCAACTACACCTTTCGTTCCCTTTCCTTTTCTGGTTTGCCAATATTTGATCTTTCTGACTACTCCAGCTTAAAATGGTTTTGCAAATACAAACGGATATTTGGTTTCTATTACAGACTTTCTCTGTGTTATTCTCCACCCAGGGAAGCTGGACAGCTAATGAGTGCTGCTGTCTTGCATTTTTTTCTACCTCTCTCTATGGCAGGGGGAAATGTCCAATGCTGGCTGGGGAATAAGGGGAGTTGGAAGTCCACGAGTCTTAAAGTTGCCACGGTTTTACACCCCTGTTCTTGACCAAATCTGGCACACCAAGCATGTATCAACTGTGCTCCTTCTAGTGGCGGATTATAAGCCCCATGAAAACCATCCATTTCTGTTCTGCATGATCAAAGCCACTGTATTCCCAGGCAGTTATTTTGGAGTTGACCTGTATGTGTTCTCACAGTTCTACAGCAAAATGATGTATCGTTAATTTGCTTTGTTCAAAAAATATTTCAGAATCTTCCTTGCCTGTGTGCTTCAGGATGCACAAAGAAACGGTATATACTGGGAGTGATTGGGAAAGCTGTATTTTGTAAACTAAATGCCTATATGGCAATGTGTTTCTTGTACACCATGAGAAACCAATGTTTGATGATGCACTTTCCAAATAAACCTCCCAACTGAACAGATCGGCAGAACGTTTTTCCAAATATAATCAGGAGAGAAGATTGATTTCATTTCATTCATATTGAGTTTTTAATTCAATACAATAGAATTCTGTTTTAATTCATTCCTTTCCATCTATTGGATACATTTTCCACCTGACATATTAGCAATTAGAAAGAGACGGAAACTTTTGTGGGAGTTTGATTGTCTTCTCTTAAGATGTTCGGAACCGTGAGGCCCTTGGATCATAAAGGAGTTGGAAAGACAGCTAGAAATCAACTTGGGCGATAAGGGAGGTGATAGCCCTGCGAGAAAAGGGCAATGCAGGGAGCCCTCAACGTACCCTTCCAATTGAGCCCCAAATTTCCGCTGCTAATCAAGACAGTTAAGTTAATTTTGCCCCGTTTTATGTGCTTTCTTGCCACAGTTGCTAAGTGGATCATTGAAGTTAAGAGTAACACCGTTGCTGGTTTTCCCACTGGCTTTGCTTGGTCAGAAGGTTGCAAAAGGAATCACGTGACCCCGGGACCCTGCAAGCGTCATAAATATAATCTGAATTTTGATCACGTGACCATGGGGATGCTGGAACGGTGGTATGAAAAACGGTCGTAAGTTGTTTTTTTCAGTCTCATCGTAATTTCGCACGGTGACTGAACAAATGGTGGTTAAGTCCAAGACTACCTATATTCCTTTTCTGTGTGAGCGTCTGCTGCTTGGGAAATTTCATGGAGCTGCATTCGATAGGGGAAAAATGTCTTGCTTCAATTTAGCCCTTGTCCACCACGTGCCAGTCTGTTGCACAAGCCTTGTCCTGTTCCTAACTCGAATAAACAAGATAAATTTCTCATCCAGTAGCTGCCTTTATGTCTTCATTCCTGGCTCAGAGAAGCCTGGGAAATGCTCCCACCATTCCGTTCGAAGGAGAAAGGCTCTTTCCTGAACTAAAGCGCCTCCTGTGATCTGAAGCCCCTCTGGGGTCCTCCTTTATAAGGACGGTGGTGCTTGGCTGGCACTGAGTCACAAAAGGACCCAGACAGGATAAACCAGCGTGCAGTAGTGGCAAGTGGACCATACGTGACATGTAGAAGAGCTGTGCCAGGAGAACGTGTGACGACTACCCTGGACGCTTCCCCATACACCACTCCAGATATCAGCTCAGAGGAAGATGAAGCAGTTGTCCTGGCACATCAGGAGGGGAGTCAGCCTTCTGAGAGGGATTTGGCTGAAGGGTAGCTGCAGCAGGACAACTCTGAGGTTTCAGGTGGGGAAAGCATGCAACTGCAGCCAGGCAGGAATGAGGATGAGGAACTGCCTTCTGCACCTGATCCAAGAACATGTAGGGCAGAGAAAAGGCGGGAGCAGCGAAAGTCAGCCAGATCACTCGCGAGGAGGCAGCCTTGCCCTTCTAGATGGTCTGCACCAGAAATTGGCTATTTAGCACAGCAGATAGATGGAAGGCAATGCTAGGAACGACATTGCTGTATGTCCTTGCCTTCAACTTTGGACTTTGCCTATGAATTTGTCTTTGCCTTGGGAACCTGTTTTGGCCTCCTGGACTGGACTCGCCTTTGCCTCGAGGATTAGTGTTGGCTTCATTTGACCTGCATCGCTTCTTGTCTTTTTGCAGGATGCAGTAATGGTGGCCTGGTCAACAGAAGAGAGCAATGGAACTACTTCTGAGTAACTGAGCCATGCGCAGAAACTGCTTCTGTGTGTAGCCCAGCCTACCTCTTCGAACTTATGATGGCACTGGAAAAAAGTGACTCGTGTTCAGTTTTCACACTTATGGCAGTTGCAACATCCCTGTGGTCACACGATCAAAATTTGAGGCACCTGGCATGTATTTACATATCCCAGGGTCAAACAGAGGAAACAAGAGACAATGAGGAAGTCAGATTCACTTAACAATGGAAGTGATTCACATAATGACTGTGGAAAATATGTTCTAAAATGGAGCGGAACTCACTTAACCATCTTAATTACTCATCTTACGTTGCAACGGGCTCAACTGTGGTCACTAAGTCGACGACTACCTGTAGCATTTAAAACAAGGCACAAAAGAAAATATAAAATGCTGAGAGCAGGTTGGAACATCCAAATATTTCATAATTGTGAAAATCTACAGAGAAATTGCTACAATATGAAAAAATTGAGTTACAGAAATTTGATCTTAGGGAAATCGATCAGTCTTTGATATGAAATGTAACTGAACATCTGAAATGTACACAGGGCCAAACCTGATTTTTGTTGTTGTTGCTGTTAGAATAACACTCTGTCAATGCCTATATAAAATCTGGGGAGACGTCTCATTTAGGGTCAATAATCATGGAATGTTTTGGAATACATAATCACCATCATCATCATCATGAGTCACTTTTAATCAGCCTGATCAAGTGTTCTTTTACTGCAACTTCTTTGAAGAAGTGATCCATAAAGTGACAATACGGTTTGGGAAGATAGGCAGGATTATTTCTAGGCTACATAAAACTTCCTAACAAGACACAGGGTACCCAGTGATGGGAAAGTGCTTGAAAAATATACTCCGTAACCAATGTCCAAGCATAGGACAAGAATTAAAATAAGGCTTCGGTTTAAAGAGAAAAGAGTGCAGCAGCTCTCTGAAAAACTACAGGTCGTCATTGACTTACACCCAGTTCATTTAGTGACTGCTGAAAGTTACAATGGCACTGAAAAATAGACTTACGGCCATTTTTCACACTTATGACCATGTGTGGCATCCCCATGCTCATGTGATCAAAATTTAGATGATGGGCAACTGGTTCGTATTTATGATGCTTGCAGGGTCCTCAGGTCCCTGCAGTTCCCTTTTGCTGTTGTGGTTTGCCGGCAGCCGGTGCAGACAGCAGCGGAATCGGACAGTGGGGAAGAACGGGGACCAGTCCAGGAGTCTGGATAGGACTCGGATCCTGCATCCGATGCAGAGATGGGACCAGGACCATCTGGGAGTGGAGTGCTGCCTCTGGAGCCTCCGGAGTCTGGCAGCAGTGAGGCAGAGGACTCAGGGGAGCTTATTCCCAGTACACATGTGCACAGAGCTACTAGAAGGTGAGAGCAGCTTTACTCGGGAGTAAAGCTGGGAGGAGATTGCTCCTCCCATAAGGGATAAAAGTCAGGCCAAGATGATGAAACCTTTGCAGGAAGCAAAGTAGTTAGGTCGGTTCATAGTCATCGTTGAAGCTCCTTGAACTTCAGTTGGTTTTTTTTGTACTTTGGTTGGTTTCTTTTCTAGTTATTTTGATACTTCTGTTTTTGGCAGCACTTCACAGAACTGAAAGGTGTGTGCTTATCTTGGGGGACTGTTTGAGATTACTTCCGGCTGGGAATGAAAACAATTCCCAGCATTGCAATAAAATAGGGTGTTTTTTTAAACAAGTTTGTTAATATTTACGGTTTACAAAGCCTGGGTCAGAACATTTGCAACCTTCTGACAAGGAAGGTCAATTCCCGTAACGACTGCACTGATTCCCTTTCACAACTGCGGCAAGAAATGTCGTCAAATGGGGCATAACTCACTGAACAAATGTCTCACTTAGCAGCAAAAATATTGGGAGGTGTCAATGACGGTCATAAGTCAAGGAGTACCTGCATAGGCATCAGAGGTACGGCATTTCTCAAATCAGAAGTACACTTGATATTTCCTTTGCATTTGGTTTGTTGTACCATGTCCCCACCAAAAAAAGAGAGCAAACAATAAAAGAAGCATTTGGAACAAAGCAAAACTTACCTCTTACGTCTTGCAAAAGGACATAAAAGGGAATTGCAAATCTGTGGCTAGAGGGCAAAGAACAACACAAGTTCCTTTTGTGCCTCCAGAACAATCAAAATGAGTGCCCTTTTTCCCCCTTCTTTTTCTGATTTATGCACTTGAAACATGCTATCTGATCCGTAATGTATTTCCATTACCAACACATATAGATGCGTACATGAACTACATTGTTCATATGGTTTTTTTTAAAAAGTACACAATATTGGTCCTTTAAAAAAAATCCTTTATACAAATAAGATTTAAGGTCAGTCTCTTTGCCTTGCGAAGATACACAGTACCTGACGTATTTATGCTTTAATAATTGGAGGTGAAATCACCAAAGAGTCTACAGAAGAGACCATGATTTCACTACTAGAGTTTGACAGTCACCACACAAGCTCCAGCTCTTCCGAGGCACAATGGTGCAACCTGAAAGAGGAAAAGAATGAAAAAGAATCAAGGACAAAATTATCGATACGATTCACAAATATTTTGGAAAAGAGGAGAAGGTTTTCGATGAAACAGCTTGCCTTCAGAAATCGTGGTCACTCCATCACTGGAGTGTTTTAAAAAGACTCTAGACAATCACTTATCTGCAATGGTATAGGTTCTCCTGCCTGAGCAGGGGGTGGACTAGAAGACCTCCAAGGTCCTTCCAGCTCTAGTCTATATTCTTTATCATTCCATTCTATATTCTGTTCCATTCTGTTCCACTCCATTCCATTCTTCACCTATTCTATTCTATTCTATTCTATTCTATTCTATTCTATTCTATTCTATTCTATTCTATATTCTAATCTTTTTCTTATTCTATTCTATATTCCCTTATTCTATTCCATTTCTTATTCCCTTATTCTATT